TACCCATATACCCACACCCACACCCACACCCACAACCCATACCCATACACCCACACCCTAGGAGATTATTTTTGACGCCAATTTAGCCTATCGACATCAATTGAATATCACTAACATAGAGTTTAATTGGATATTTTCATAAACCAATATCTGCTTAGGAAAAACTATCAATTGTAATAATCATCTGTAGATGTCGTTTGTTGGTAAAATTATTTTAGTGTCATTGACTGTAAGTGTTAAAGAACCCATAACTCTCTCGTGACTATGATCGTGACTGTGACCGTGACCGTGACTAGTTTAGAAAAATCTTCGTGACTATGAACGTGACCGTGATGTGACCGCGACTACTTTGGAAAAATCTTCGTGACCATGAACGTGACCGTGATCAGTTAGCTCGTGACCGTGACGTGGCGTGACTAAAGAATCATGGTCATGCAGAAGTCTAACACCCACACCTACCCACACCCACCCACCCACATACCCACATCCCACACCCACACCCACACCTACCCACACCCACCCACCCACATACCCACATCCCACACCCACACACCCACATCCGCCAACCACACCCTCACCGCTATACGTCCAGATAAACGACATAATTCAGAAAAAGATCTCGATGAAATTGCATTTTATGGTGAATGTATATCAGTAGCATTACGAACAATAGCAACATTTTAAAATCGTCATACAGGTCAAATCTATGGACCAGGTGCACAATATAAAAAAATCAATGAACAAATAGAAAAATCATATGATGAATATGATAATGATGAAATAAAAATGCTTTATGTATTTAGTGCTGAAAATCGAAAATCATCAGAATTTGATTGGAATTTAAATTATGGTTGTGGATTTAATACATTTAATTTTAAACTTCTTAATTCACAAAATAATAAAAGAAGAAAATAAAGATTTGGAACATTGGGTTTTTTTTATTTTTACTTCATTGTCTATATTTATATATTTTAATTGAAATTATGAATGGATCTTATTTAAATTCAATTGTTAAATAGTTTGTTTTATTTTTATTTTTAAATAACTCTTCGTTGGTAAACAAAAAGAGTCACAACAATAATAACAAATAAAAGGCTTTCAACAAGAATTTTTAGAAAAAGGAATAGAAAAATAAAAACAACAACAACACTCTTTTTTTAACTCTTAATAATTAATATAAACCTCGAAGAACATCATCTAATCAACACCATCATCAATCATAACTCCTTTCACTGTATAAGTTTTAATACAAGTTTCAAGGTGTGCAAAAATTATTTCTAAGCGTCGATCAATAGCAATAAGATGTTCATCAATAAGAATCATTTGTAATCCTTCATGAGTTTTTAATGAATTTGAAACTAATTTTGAAAAACCTTGTTTATATACACGATATAAACGTGCAAATGTTTTATAACGAAAAAAACAACAATGTCGAATAGGTGTTAAAATTGATAAATCATCATCATCATATCGACCAAAACTTCGGCCATGATCCAAATGTAGTAAAGCTGTATTGTTACCAAATGAACTAATACGCATCATATGATGACGATCCAGATTACCTTAAATTAATTTTAATAAAATAATATAACGTGCACACAATTCAAAACTTTAGCAAAAACCTTTCCGTGTTGCTATTATGGGATAGAACTCGTCGAGTTGTATAGGAAAAAAATTCTAAATATTATATATTAGGATGAGGAAAAAATGAGCTCAGACATTGATCTATGTAGTCTGTTTTTTCTTCTATAATACACTACATTTTTCGATCGAATTTTTTTTCACTTTCCCACCTAATTAAACTTTGGTATATATGCCAAAGTTTAAGTTCAATATTACGTAGAAAACTGAAAAAAAAATTCGATCGAAAACATAGATAAGTATTTGAGCTCATTTTTTTCCTCATCCTGATATATAAAAATATTTACAATTTTTTTGCTGAAGTTTTGAATTGTGCATACATAACGGAAAAAAAAACAAAATTTAATTTACCTATAATAAAATCAAATGCTGATAAATCCATCATATCAAGTAATAAACGATTATGATAATATTCATCTATCATAATATATTCATAACAATAATTTTCATTTAATTCCCATTTAGCTTTTCGTGATGTCCTATATGATCGACGATATGGATGAGTAATTTCTTCCCAAACTATTTCAGATGATTCTGGTAAAAGTACTTGAACAGAACCTTCTAATTGATCACCTGGTTTACCACAAACAGCATGCTCTATATCACAATAATATGAGCAATGACCATAGAAGCACGTATTATTAGCTAAAAAAAACATTCAAAGACTAAAAAATCATTTAAAAAAAGCTTTCTTTACCAGGTGAAATAAAAAATGTTCTAGCTAATTTATGTGTTGCTTTTTCACGAATATCACTAGTTATATTAAGAACTCGTCCAATTACTGGAGGAACACGATTAAAACCTAGAATTCTAAAAAAATGACATTAGTATTAATAAAACAAAAAAAAAACCAAGTTTGTATAAAGTAATTTACTTGTCTACATGAAATGCTGCTATCTCAGCATAATGTCTTTCAATATCACTAAAATAAAAATGATCCGATGGTGTTTGATAATTACGCGGTACTCTATATAATCAAAAAAAACAAAAACTAAAATTTCATAATAATAAAATTTAAAAACCTGTACGGTTTTAATAGTCCTTGAAAACCATTAGGTAAGTCAAGAAGAATTTTAATTTGAGTACCATGTGACATTTCATCTTGAAAAAACTATGTTAAACGAAAACAACAAATTTCATTTACATACTTGCTTTAGTTATTTTACCATATTGCAAATATTTGAAAAGATTTTTAAATTGTGAACTATGTGTATCATAGACACGTAAATTGTTCACCGTTTTCATGAACTGAAACCATGTTGTATTCAATTTTCTGAAACGAATCATCAAGAATTTTTATTATATATATATGGGGATGACCAGTCTGGCCGGGTGACCCATTAATATTTTTTTATTGCAAGGATAAAAGATACTATTGTTCGGGTCATATGAGAGAGGATCGTAGATAACCCTGGATCGGCCCGAACAACACCATGTTTTATCCTTGTAATAGTAGAGAAAAGCTACCAGCTTATCCTGTGAGCTAGTAGCTATTCTCTACTATTATAAGGATAAAACATGGTGTTGTTCGGGCCGATCCAGGGTTATCTATGATCCTCTCTCATATGACCCGAACAATAGTATCTTTTATCCTTACAATAAAAAAATATATTAATGGGTCACCCGGCCAGACTGGTCATCCCCATATATATATAAGACAATATTCTTATTGTATTGAAGGAAATATTGAGTTTTATTGGAAGTGATCCTTCACATCCATTTCTGCATCAAACTCATAAATTCAGTTTTATATTTAGAAAATTAGATTCCTAATCGATGCTACTTATTTCAATTATACAGGGTGTTTTATAAGTCACAAAGCTTGACAAAATGAAGGCTAACCGAATATTTTTGTATGAGCCTTGAGTGTTCGTGCCAAGCTTCCACATGACAGATGATTGGATAATAAGAATATAAACATGAGACCAAGCTGTGTATTTATGAAAACCTCACATGCAACAGGAAAACCGAAAGCATTTTGAACTATTAATGAATTATTTAATAAATCGATTTTTACTCCAAGAAAGTAACGCTAAATTTGCTGATATATCGCTCATTGAAAATTTTAAAGGAAAGAAATAATTTTCAAGTTTTAAACAACTAAAAACGAAATGGATCAAAGAATGAAAAACAAAACAATTTGTAATGATTGATAAAATCCCTGAGAGACTTGGCGAATTAAGATACAAACTGGTGGATAACAAATGCATGATAAATAAATGAGACTTTTGTATAATCAGATTAATAGAGTTTTTAATAAAATATCTTGTTGATCGATTGCAAAAAAAAATTTATTTAAACATTCTCATGTTTATATTTTTATTATTACAAATAAAGATATTATCCAATAAAATGTCATTTGAAAGATGGATACTAGTATTCAAGAGTTGTATAAAAACATTCGTTTAGGGATTAGTCTCTATCTTCATATCAAATAATGTCCTCAAGCCTCAAGATTTAAAATAAAGAAGATAAGAATTCATATCCATTAACGACGAAATTATAGTTGAATGAAATTAATGAATAAACATAATAAAACTAAATTATAATTTCTAATAAAAAAAATTTTGCAAAACAAACAATTACTTATATATATATACGAATGAGATTTGATGTTGACATTAGAAAAATTTTATGATTCAATTCAATATTTTCTTTTTAAATCAAGACGAATATAATAATCCCTAAATAGACACTTTCTTATACATGATAAGAAATAACTTCTTTTACATCTTATGGTCTTGCTAAAAGAGAATGCTCAAGGCTTTAAATGATTGGATATTAATAGTACATGCTTCTCTAAAAGCATATTTTATTTCATCAAATTAATCGACTAATGTTTCATTTTGAACAAACAAAAGCCTTTTTTTTTTGTCTCTATACTCGAAGGCAAAAAATATGACAAATTTTTTTTTTTTTTTGTTATAAGTCGATAAGAAAACTCTTGTTCACATTGAATAGTTTTTCAATTGATATTATTAACAAGAAAAAAAAACATGTATAAGTAACGATTGGATTAAGACTTAAAAATCTACTATATTATTACATTTTCTTTACTATGATATGCTTGAATGCATTCTATACACAATCACCGATGATGTATGTTATTATTCTCATGCTTCTCCGCGACCTATTATCATATTTCGAATAACAAAAAAACAAAAGACTATTTTCATCATAGCAAAATACTAGTTGACTAAATCATTATTATTTGTAAAGAAAAAAAACAAACAAACTACGAATTATCAAATAAAATGTACATGACAGACGTAACCCTAATGTCTATTGTCTAAATTGACGGATTCAAAATTTATGGTTGAGAAAATATTGTTTAAATATGAAAATAACAAAAAAACAAATTTTGGACTTACTCTGGGTCATCTTGTGCTAATGTATCATGCATAAGATCGGCTAAATTTATAATTGTATCATTTAAATGTTGTTGTTTCCATTTAGCTAATACATGATGTATAAAATATCGTAATTGTTTTTTATCATGTTCATTGATAGTTTTTTCTTCATTGGTAAAACTAAGTTTAGGTTTTTTTCGTTCCTCACTATCTGAATCAGATGTATCATCATCTTCACTTGTATCATTAGTATCATTTTTTGATTTTTGTTCAATAAATTTTTCAAAAGTCCATGTTGGATCAAGATAATGAGATTTTTTTATATTAGATAAATCGATTTGATCATTTTGAGCACGATGCACTAATTGATAAAGTTCATCTATACGTTGACGTGTTATAGATGATGCATGATTAGTTAACTTGAGTGTTTTTGTTGCTTTTATATCACAAATATTTTCTTGACAAAGAACTGACCAAAATGATACATCAACAGGTGGTTTAGGAAATTTTGAAATGTTTTCTTGTGGTTCAAGATCAGTTGTTGGCCATAAAAATGTATAAAATGTTACAAGGCAGAAAAGGCTTAATATTGTTAAGCTGAAGAGAAATGAACAATGTACACGAAAGCTTAAGTACGACATTAATTTATTATCCAATGATGCGATGATATAGTGTCTTTTTCTTAAAAATAGACAAATGGATTTTATATAGTACGTGCTTGTTTTTTCTCTTCTTCCAATTCCTCCAGGTCTGTTTTTCTCCGATTTGTATTTTTTTCTTTTGAAGACATTCTCAACAACTCGAGTAACGTCATTGGAGTTCGTTTACTACAGATTGGTGATAGTTATGTGTTTTTGATAGTTTGGTCTAATAAATATCAAACAAAAAATTGATTTGATTTTGCGAACAAATTATTATTAATTTTGATTTTGTTAAAATCAAAATTTATTTGTATGTGTGATAAAAAAAGAACTCAATGTTTACAGAACTTAAATTTCTATGAAGAAGAAAATTTTTTGAAAAAACAAAAAGGTTCACATGAAAACTTTTGTAATTAATGTTCTATTCAATAAAATCAAATTCAAGTAATTATCAAGAATTTGCAAATATACAAGGAATGAAGTGAAACTATCGAAAAAATTAGATTATTAATCCCTATTTTCTTGCTATACGATGATCTATTAAGCAATGTGTTCGAAAGAAATATTATATATAATAATAAATTTAGATTTCTGTTACCTATACTGTATAGATTTCTTTCATTACATCGTCAATAAATACAATAAGAGAACTAAAAATCTACAAGAATAAAAATAATTAAGATGAAAATCAAGTCAAACTGGGTTTTACGACAACTTCTAAATAAAAACGTATTGTAAAGCAGAAGTATTTGGCATGATAATTAGCAATATTAGATTTGTCATTGCTCATGCACAAGTACAATGCGCTATTTAGAACTAACTCGTCTTTACATTTTCTCTTGTCGTATGTCTTACTTATTTTTTCTACTTAAAAACTAGTCGAATACCAATCAATGTTTGCTATATTCACGTTTATTTGTGTATGTTTGCAATAGAAAAATCTTAATCTACTGTATTAGAAAACCATGGAAAAAAAAAAGATCGTTCGACACTAAGTTGATTCTCTCAAGGTGAGAAAAAGCAAATAACTTTGGTCGAATAAAAGCAAAAGAAAAAAGAAGAAAACTATTGTCTTCAGTCGTATTAGAGAAAAAAAGAATGTTTCTGTCTGCGTAGTCGACAGTCGTATGCGCTCTTCGCTCTTTGTTATGATCAAAGCACATGGGGGGGGGGGGGGACATGTATAAGCTATCAGGTGAATTAGCGAAGAACAGAAAGAAAAATGCCTACTTTATGGAACTGTTCGAAAATCAAGTCATTGATGAGAGAGAAGGAAATCTGTGATGTGCTGATTTTTTACCAGATCGATGACAGAGTACATCAAAGAATGTGACTATTGTTCAGTCAGATCAACACGAATTTTTCTCTAGCATACGTATTGTCTCACCAGGTCTTCAATAACATCATTTTCATATCTATCGAAAATGTAAATTAAATTTTCAATGCTTTTCTCTTACTAATCTCAGTATTATCCATCGAGACAACGAATATTTCAAGGATTAGTTCGGACCATACACGAATGAGACAATGTGTTATAATAGATATCTTTATTATCTTGCTTATAATGTTCAAAAACAAACAGAAATATCCACTTAGACGAAACGAAAAACAAAACGTGATATTGATATTTCCAATAGACCATATAAGTGTGTAAGAATTTTCACAATGAGACAGTAAATCCTTGAATAACTATCACCTATTTCAAAAAAGAAGAGCCATAGATATTTTTTGAATAAGGGTGGGGTGTGTGTGGGTGAATACAGAAAATATTATTATCCACACCCTCTCATGTTCACGTTGAATAAACAGGAATTTTCTAAATTTTATCATCTTAGTAGTTCACTTCTTATGTAAATCTAGAAAAAAAAAATTTAATACACAATAACTCTTTTTTCGTAATGTTAAGTTTGTCTCTGATACTAATTAAATTTCATATACGAAGAACCTAAGAGAAATCAAATGTTTCATCTTTTAATAGGAATACTTTCGAACCATTCTTTTCATGGATCTAGAAAAGCTCTTAGAGTCACAGTTTGAGACTTTCAGAAGATGAACTTTATTACAATATCATTCTACTCTTGTAAGGTTTACCTTTTCGATAGTTGTAAATTGTAAACGAAACGAGAAATTTAAGTTCTCTCATCAATAGAAAATAAACAATTTTTTTTTTCTTATATCTTCTCCTTATATAGACACAATTCTTCTTTGTTTCTTTACATCAATTAAAACTCTATTAGGGATGGGATAAAAAGAGCATTCGTATTGTTGTAGGTGAATTTTCCGTTAAATAATTTGATAGACTTTGATAAGGATCTGTGTGTATTCGAAACTTAGAACGGAACGAGCCCATATTCCTACTTAGTAACGTTACTTGAACGATAGTATCAACTTCGTATAGATAGAGATGTAGAATGTCGATAGCGAATAAAAAGATTTGCAAGTCCGACTGATGCAGTAAGGAAGTAGGTGTGAGGTTATGGCGTAGCAAAAGAAGTTCCGACACCCATACTCACACCCTTTTCCCAAGTCAAGAGATATATGGAAAACAAAACAGTCTTCTGAAAATTTTCAATATAATGAAAATCAAAATTTTATCGTTTACCTAAGTTGGCATATATACCAATTTAGTTGTTTCGTAACAGACGAAGAGTGACACCAAAAAAAAGAATACTGTGAGAAAAAATCTATTTGAATTACACTGTAAAAAAAATTTTGCTGCATTGATCTGCTATTGATATAAAATTATACTGGTTATTTATTTAAAAATAATTAACATTATATAGAACAAAAACATAAACACAGTATATTCGAAGCAACGAAATTTTTACCACCATAAATGTAAATCATTATTAATATATTTAATAGAATAATTGTTGAGTAAGTTTTTTGATTTAATTAAAACTTTTGTTTGTTTTAAACATACTTTCGGTACCTTCAAAATACATAAATAACATAAATTTCGTGTTTTATTATGAGTTTTCGATAATAAGAATCGAATTATTTCTCCGATTTCTTTTCTATTCAATTCAATTTTGAAATATTTTAATCTTGGAAATACATCCACAATAAATTTGATGTCACTTAATGAGGGTGTGGGTGTGGGTGTGTGGGTGTAGACTACAAAAGACATCCACACCTACATCCACCCACACCCACACTCACACATCCACATCCACCCACACTCACACATCCACATCCACCCACACCCGCACCCACCTCACATCCACACCCACACTCACCCCTTTTTTTATTTTCTATCCTGTGTATGACGTGTAATTCATTTATCAACCTAATTTTTAACAGCTGAAAAACAAATCGTACAAGATCCGGCATTACTTGAAGAGCTACGCAAATATCGAGAACAAAATGCTGAATTAATAAAGCGTTAAGACGAACTGGCTGTCAACATGAAGAAGAAAAAGCTCGATTCATTTGAAGCTCTTGCTAAGCACGATAAGCAAGCCGCAGCTGCTCTGGTGGAATTAGCACATAATACTAAGGCACAACCACTTGAAGGTAACAATATTGGTCTATTCGGCTTGACATCGACAGGGAAGTCAACAATGCTTAATAGTCTCATTGGGTCTAAAGTAGCCGCCACAGGGTCTGGTGAAACAACAATGGAAATTAAATCATATTCTGCCCAAAAATTTATCCTATGGGATATACCTGGACGGAACGATGAAATGTCTTATCTCAGTATGAATTACATATCTTTTTGGAAAGGTTTGACTCGAAGATTAGTATTGATTACGACAACGGTGAAGGAGAATACAAGCATGATGAAATTGCTGGATGCCATCGGTTTACATTATGATATTGTGGCAAATAAATTTGATCAAGTAGACGAAGAAGACCAAGACAAATTTCGAAATCAAATAAAAGCTGAAATAAGTACAACAGGTCTCAAAGGTGTCGATCATGTTTTCCTTGTCAGTGCCAAAAATCCAAAAATGTTTCCTGATTGGCTTACAATGGTCGATTATTTAACTGGTTCAACTAATTGAATGCTGATTTCGTGTTCATTGCAGGAGTTCGTGCTTCCCAAAAACTGATATAACTTTTATTCATTCTTTTCTCTAACTACGACTTTATTAATTACTATTCTATTTGAATTGCAAATGATATATTTTCAAAAAGTATTTCTATCAGTTACATTGGAAAAGTAATATAGGTGACGACAAAAGTTTTCGCTCTACTATGTAATCGCAATGACACTCGCGACATATCTGAAAGTACTACATATGCTGCGGGTAAAGTGAGTTTCAAAGAATGATTCTAAGCTACGTACGACGCGTTTCGTCCTTGCTTAAAGGACTCATCAGGTAGATTCGGAATCGAATGATCTGCATGGTGATAATCTAAGATATTCTCAAATCAAAACACAGTCTTATAAGAGTCATCACTGTATTGACAACTCTCAACAATACCATCCAATATCGAGAAAAGATTATCATAAATCATAGAATTCTCGAAACGGTGAGTTTCAAAGAATGATTTCGAGCTACATACGACGCATTTCGTCTACTGCTTAGATAATCATCATTAGGTAAGTTCGGAACGCTTAATGTTGTTATTCCAACAAGATGAAAACATTAGTTCAGAAGGAGAAAGGGACAAACTTAGTAGAAGGAGAACAAAATGTTTCAAAGACGAGGATACATCGATATGCAGATATCTACTAGTCCATCCTGGTTAGTAGTTCTTTAAGAGGTTTCTTATGAATGACGAATGACTCGAGTATACATTGCGTGTCGACCATTAGTCGAACTTTAACATCATAAACTGATGAACCAGGATATGCAGAATATTCATGCCACCGTTTGTAAAAATCTTTTTTCAAGACAGAAGATTGACTGCTATCGAATAAATATCTAGGATACATGACTTTCCGATCCCACACTTTATTATGCAGAAAAAAAGCAAGAATTACGAATCATTCATGCTTATGTTTACCATGAATTTGTCATACAGAAAAGACAATTATTATTGTTCTGCGAGAGAAAGATAAACTGTTTGTGTGACGTTTGCCTGAGTCTTCAATAGTGCACGTAAACAGATACAATTAAAGAACATATTCCCGTTGCTATAGAGAAAGTGAAAACATGAATTACCCATTATTCATGGTTATGTTTTTTATGCAGCTTTAGTGAGAAGAAATAATTGCTGCCATTCGATCAGAGAATAATTAAATAATTTTATGATGATTGCCTCAAGTTTCGAAAGCACTCAACAACTACTATTTTAAAAAAAAACGTTTTCGCTCTACTGTGTAGAAATGAAAGAAAACCATTTTTCAATTTTTTTTGTATTGTTTTGCATGAATCGACAAATGAGAAGAGAGATGCGTTGCCATTCGCTCAGAGGACGACAAAGTAATTGCACGATGATTGCTTCGAGCGTCAACAACGCAGGGTGTGGGTGTCAATGTGAGATAATAGAAGATCCACACCCACACCCACACCCTCAACTCTGGTTTATTATTTTTTGTTTATTTTTCTTGTTTTATGTATGTGTAAATATCCTTTGTCGTCATGTTGTGTTTCTTTTTAGTTTTTGTTGTTGTCCTGTGTGCATCTATGTTTGCGTTTTGTCCTTTGTGCTCTTTGTCTCGGTAAATTTTTTGTGTTCAACTTCCATTTGTTCTTTGCCTAAACTGGTTCTACCAGTACTGGCTATCTATTTATCTATCTCGACTCTTTCTCGAAGGAGATGCAACTTTTGTATAGAGAAAATTGATAAAAATAGCGAACAGAGATGTATAAGAGAGTTGTTTAATGATATACTAGATTTGAATAAAGATTCAGTTACTTATTGATTGTCCATATCTTGATGTGAATAGCTATTAAATTTCAAGCACTATTTAAACATCACTAGGCTACTTATTTATTGTGATTGTTTTATTTTTCTTTGAGTAAGAAAAGGAAAAATTGGATATATTTAGGGCACACCAAAAGTAGTGACGATTCTATCTCCATTTCGTATAGATGGCTTGAGAAAACTTTCTTTTTATACAGACTGGTAGTAAAAACAAAGTTCTACATTTCTACACTATTTGATCATTATTCATCTAATGTCATAATAATAAAATGTCCATTAGACTTATTTAGCTATGATATGTGACGATAACATTAGTCCATATTGGCTTCGATATTTATTCTTACCTTGATCTTCTCTTTGTTCTTGAGAATGAGGGTAAAGATAATAGTGTCATGAACTCTTTGAATAAATAAGAGTATAAAAATATTCGATAAGTGAATTCAACGAATGTAATTGTATGTGAATAACCAAGACGATTATTTCAAATACTTGATGAAATAAAAATTTGTTTCTGTATTCCTTTTTTTTTGTTCTGTCGTCACTACTTTTGGTATACCCTAAGTTCTATTTTGAAAAAACACCTAAAGCTACAAAAAAAATAAAAATAAGAACTATGTTTTTAAAATGATATCATCATTTTCGATCACATATTTTCAGTTTTTGTTTTAATAAATTCATCAATTATATTCTCCAGCATATTCAATGGCAATGATCCATTCAATAAAACCGCTAAAATAAAAAATAACAGCATAAAAGAATATAGATTTTAAAATTTTCTTAAGTATTTCATACCATCATGAAATTGTTTCAAATCAAATTTATCACCGAGTGCTTTTTGTGCTTTTTCTCGTAATGATAAAATTACTTGACAACCAATCATATAAGAACATGCTTGTCCAGGATATACAAAATATCGCTCGACATCTGTAATAATTTTTCCCTTTTTCAGACACGTATTTTCAACCTAAAATTTAAATATACTTTAAAAAAAAAGACTTTCTATAAAAATCGTAACCAGATAATCAATGGCTTGTTCACGTGACCATCGTTTCCAATGAATGCCAGTATCAACAACAAGTCTTAACAAAGCAAAAATTATTATAAAAATTTAATAAATATTTATACCGGCATGAACGGAAAAGTTGAGCATCAAGATATCCAAGATAACCATACCATGATTTATGAAAACCTTCTTCTGCTGCTAATTGTTCTGTATATAATGCCCATCCTTCAGTATAAGCAGTAAATCCCATCAGACGTCGAAACAATGGTAAATGTTTAAGTGATTGAGCCACACTACGCTTGAAACAAAATTTATTCAAAAAATAAATAAATAAATTGAATTTAAATGTTTAGTTTTACTTGAAAATGATGACCTGGAACAGCTTCATGATAAGCTAATGTATACATTTTAAATTTAACTATTTCATCAATCTTACGAAGATTTACAAATAATGTTCCTGGTGTTTTACCATCAAATGATGCTGGAGAATAATAAGCACCTACTGCTGTTGCTTCTTTAAATTGAGGTATACGTTCAACAACACATTTTGCTTTTGGTCGGCATGCAGATGAAAAATATTTATCCATTTCATTATCAATATCTTCAATGATTTGACGAAAATCATCAAGAATTTTTGTTCGACTTTCTTCAATATTTTCATATTTTTGTTCACTATCCTTTTCCAAATTTGTAATACTTGTTCGAAAATCATACCAACTTTCAATTTGTTTTTCTTTTAAAATTCTAAATATAAGTGTAGTGTCGACTATAAATATATTTACGATAAAAACATTTAACTATGTTCATTCTTCTCGAAGGTATTGAGCTGAGGACTTCTCAAATATGCATGGGAATTCAGTTGAGTTTAGAATGCATGTAAATAGTATGAGTCACACGATAATTAATGTTTGTGTACTATTGTATTCAACTGTTGTAATTTTAGCGATTCTAAATGATTCGTCGAACTTCTATGATCTATTTGGAATTATTTTAAAATATTTACATATAGAAAGTTTTCATTTTTAACCATTCTTATTTAGTGAATATTAGAATTTTATGAATTTTATTCATCTCCTTATAATTAATCGATTGATGTTCGTTGCTATGGAATATTCAATCAAGAAACACATTCTATATCTGTTTGTTTTTAATTACATTAATTGTTTTTTCATGTGAATCTCTTACAAAAAAAAAATTATTCTATAAAAACAAATAGCTCGAATACTCTCGATTTCGTTTCAACCAATAATTCAATGTCTCCATGTCCCGCTGCTCGAAAAAAGTGTCTATTCTATAGAAACGAATAGCTCAAATACTCTCGATTTCGTTTCAACCAATAATTCAATGTCTCCATGTCCCGCAGCTCGAAAAACATTTATTCTATAGAAAGAAATAGCTCACGTACTCTCGATTTCGTTTCAACCAATAATTCAATGTTTCCATGTCCCGCAGCTCGAAAAACATCTATTCTATAGAAAGAAATAGCTCAAGTACTCTCGATTTCGTTTCAACCAATGATTCAATGTCCTCATGTCCCGCAGCTCGAAAAACATTTATTCTATAGAAAGAAATAGCTCAAGTACTCTCGATTTTGTTTCAACCAATCGTTCAACATCCCCATGTCCCGAGCATCTATATAGAAACTACAACATAAGGAAAATGATGAGTAAGATTTACTTTTAGAAGGAAACAATAAATAGAATGACTAATGACTTTTCATCAACAAGATAACAGTACGAAGATACTTTTTATTGTCCGAGAAGTAATAGTAAATATAAATTTGACAAGAAACAAACAAGTTTTCTTGAATACGTGTTAGAAAAATTTTTAAACAAACAAAGTGAACTAAGTAATTCCAATCTCAACTAGATTCCAAACTCAACTGCAACATATATAACTGTGCAGCACACATAGAAATTTTCCATACGAAATATGTCATTTCACATCTTGGTTTTTTCCTTTTTCTTTTGTGTCACTCTATATGTATATATATGTAGAAATATATATATGTTCATGTGTGTTCTCTTGATCTATCCTTCTCTATCTTTACATGATTAGTATTTTCCCAATAAAACCGAACTGATGTTCATCCAAACTTACAGTTAAAATCAGAATTGCCAGATCTTCTGAAAAGTCAGAGAAATTTATGAAATTTGAACATTTTTCCAATTTGTTGCCGAATTT